ACAAAGCTACCAGCTTTGGAGCCAGATGTCCATGACTAACCCAGAACTGCCTCCCACTGCGCTATTTCAGGCTTTTGGGACATAGAAGTGTGGAATCTCAGTATTGGGAGCTATTTGATAGCTCAGCGGGTTCAACTGCTGGTCCTTGAATCCCCTCTAACACTAGCAATGGCAGCTTATAAGGCCTCACGGCTTATAGAGTGCTTTCCCATAGGGTGACATGGTATTGCCCCCAAACAAGGGCCAAGTGTATGGATATCTCTCTAGTTAGTGTGCTCAGCTTGGAGGCATTTACTGCTAGAAACACTCCTTTCACCTGATGCTAAAAGATATTTTAGAACATACAGTGTGGTGTAGACAGCACATGGTCTGGAGCCAGCCTGCCTGGATGTGAATCTAGGATCCACCATTTATTAGCTGACTAACGTTAGGCAAGTTCCTTAGTCCTCAGTGCCTCTGTTTCCTCATCTGAAAAATGAGGGTAATAACAGCACAGTCTCGTAAAGCTGTTCCATGGGTTAAATGTTAAGGTATGCAAAATGTTTAAGACAGTGCCTGGCACATAGAAAGTTATATATATATTTTAGTGGCTGTTATTATTACTCTTCTTGCTGTTGTATCTTAACAGGGACAAAACCCCTCAATAGAGAAGGGACTTAAAGTGTGAGATTTCCTGGGAAGAAAATGAATGATTTTTGCCTTTTATGATCCACCAAAGAATTAATGCCTTTGAATTACGGTGCTGGCAAAGAATATTGAATATACAATGGACTGACTGCCAAAAGAGTGAACAAATCTGTCGTAGAAGAAGTACAGCCAGAATGCTCCTAGGAAGCGAGGATGGCAAGACTGCGTTTCATGTACTTTGGACATGTTATCAGGAGGGACTAGTCCCTGGAGAAGGAAATCATGCTTGGTAAATTAGAGGGTCAGTGAAAAAGAGGATGACCCTCAGCAAGATGGATTGACACAGTGGCTGCAACAATGGGCTCAAGCATACCAACAATTATGAGGATGGCACAGGAATGGGCAGTGTTTCCTTCTGTTGTACATAGGGTCGCTATGAGGTGGAAGCGACATGACGGCACCTAACAACAACAACAACATGATCCACGTGCTTTACATGGCATCTTATTTAAACCGCACAACAGTATACAAGCTGGGTATTGTCAATTTGAATTTTACAGAGGATGAAACTCGGGCAAGTTGCCCAGTCATACACATAGTAAGTGGCAGAGGCAGGGTTTGCATCCAAGCCTGATTCCAAAGGCACGAAACTTCAGTGACTTAAATTCCTACTGAGGTAGACAAGACTGGGACTGCTGGCTTCTGGCCTGGGGATGACAGAATGATCTGGGTAACGCAAGAGAAGAATCTTGGAGGAGAAGTGTTGTGAGGTTTGAGAAATGGAGCCTGGGGCTGCCAAGGCCCCAGGCAATGGGAAGAATATTGGCATACAGCTTCCCTCCCCAGTTGCTCCCCTTAAATGCATCCATTCTTGTCCCATATTCAGATGCCTTCAACTTGCAGCCTCTTCCACCAGAGATGGATTCCTTCACTTACGTGAGCACATCCTCACCTTCTCAGACTGCGCTGCAGCAGCCCCCTTCTCTTCCTTTACCCTCAGTTCTCTCTCCTCTGCCTCCTGAGTAACCTCACCTTCTTTACAACTCTTTCCTTGAGGAACGGAATGGCTTCCTGGCTTCCTGCCAAAACCAAAATATTCTGGGCTGTGTTTATCTGTTCTATGCTCACATAGGACTGGGAATGTCACAGTAAAGCTTCAATTCTCTTGAATTCGGATGAATCAATGCTCAGGCTAGTGCTTAGCAAATGGCAAAAATACTTGCTTATCATTTATTGAAATAAGTTGAGATGAGGAGGGGAATGTGCAGCTTAAACAATTTGGGTACATTCATACAACAGGACATTATACAACTGTTTAAAAGAATGAGATAGATCTCTATGCATCTAAATATAGAAGAACAAAAAGCTATGGGTCTTTAATCTTTGGGTCACAAGCTTCAGAAAATTCCTGTGCATGTGCTGCTCTTAAATCCAAGAAGAAAATGGGGTGATGACTTAGATGGTAACTT